GTGGGGCCCGACTAGTAACCAATGCCAAATCCGGCGAAACAACTGGCCGCTGTGATACAATTGTACAACAACAACAATAATAATAATAATAATAGAAAACCAAAGCTTTGAATTGACAGCACTTGAAAGAAAGAAAGAAAGAAACAGAAGGTTTAATACTGCCTGCTCAAAGACAAGCACTACAAACTAGTGCCATGAAAGCGAAGATACAAAAATCCACTGACAATCCAAACTGCTGACTTTGCAACAACAAAGTCAAAACTGTTTCACATTTAATACGTGAATGCAGCAAAATCGTACAAACTGATTACAAAACTAGACATGACCGAGTTGCTAAATTAATCCACTGGTCATTATATAAAAAACATGATTTACCTGTATCCAGAAAATAGAAAAAGTTATCAAAAATGAGAAGGTGAAGATCTTGTGGAACTTGTGGGACTATGTACAAGAAATGTACATAAGACCGGCTCAAAAGGTGTGTCCGCTCCTAACCATACCAACGGGCTCCAAATCCAATGGCGATGTCCGTTTTACTGTACAAATTCATGGAGAGCTAATCCTAACCCTAAATAGAATTTTACCGAATGGGATTTTCCCATGTATTCTGCCAGGAAATGTACATAAGGTCGGCTCAAAAGGTGTACCCCCTCCTAACCATACCAATGGGCTCCAAATACAGACAGATTGACATTTTGAGCACAACACACCAGATATCACGGTTGTAGAAGGTCAAAGTGTACAGTTTATTGATATCGCTGTTCCAGGAGATGCCAGAGTCGAAGAAAAAGAACTATAAAAAATAATGAAATATTGCGACCTGGCCATCAAATCTACATGGCTATGGATGAAGTATGTAGCAGTGATACCCGTTGTCATCGGGGCACTTGGTACCATGTCCAAGAATTTTATAAGATACATCAACAAATTACGGCTTCCTACAATAACACCAGCAGAACTGCAAAAAACTGTGTTTCTTGGAACATCCTATATTTTAAGAAGGTACTTGGTTGATACCTAGGATGCTGGCAGCAACCTGTGTCAACCATTAGCATCAGTCAATGGTATTTGTAATGCATTTTTGAATGTTCAGTTGGCTGAGTTTCAGGTTTAATGAATAAAGTATATAATAATAATAAATTTATGTAAACTGAGAACTCTCCCCATGTGTATGTTATTCAATTACCTCATCCATGAGGTAATTTCAGCACTAATTAGATTTATAGTATCGGTTAAAATGAATTTTACTAAAACTGGAAGATTCTGCAATTTACAAGTAACAGTACCTATCAAGCCTTGAAAAGGATGCAAGAAATATCTATTTTCCTCCTTTTGTTATAAAGTAACTATTCTACCCACATTAAGGTTTTCTACAATATTCTTTCTCAAAGCTCTGAGAAGGGATGACCTCTTTTTTAAAGTTTGTCCTGAGGCCTAGCAAAGCATGCATACATAGCACATGGTTCTCGATAAATGCTGGGTCTTCTAGTATTAAAATCCTGCTAGTCTTCTTAATTAATTACCTAATTAATCACTGCTGCCTTTACTGAATTCCTAACAATTGGTGCCCTATCTCTCATAGGGAATGACTTTGTCCGCCATAATACCTGGCAACTGACACGGATCTTCCCCAGTGGGTTGCGGACGGACTCCTCCAATTTCAACCCCCAGGCAATGTGGAATGTGGGGTGCCAATTGGGTATGTAAAAGAGGAAAGGGAGAAGGAGAAGATGAGGAGGGAAGAGTATGTACTGTAATGGTGAGGTTGCTTGATAGCCAGTACAAGGCACATTTGGCACTTTTACCTAGAGCAAGAGGGCTAACTTTGTTATTTCTTGCTGCAAATTGTCCTGAAGATTCTCTTACTGAGTGGCCTTCAAACAGCATCAATAAATGAATGAGAAACTTGGTTACAAGAGATGGTAAAATGATCAGCATGGTAGGCAGTTTAAAAAGGAAGTAAAGCAAAGCCATGAGGCTTTTAGAAGCCACTAGTGGTTATCTACCACTATCAAGGTGAAATGTGCTCTATAAATGAATATCATTTGATGGAGCACAATAGAATGAGTGGGCTGTTGTGTCATGTCCTTCATACTGCTGGTCTCCTCAGACATGAGATGATGAACGATGTTGGCATTTGATCTGATCCAGTGTCTGGTTTCTTCAGTCCTTATTTACAATTATTCAATCATAAATGACATCTCCAACCATTTTACCATCAGTTTTCATTTGAAAAACAAATGACGAGGTTTTTTTCCCTAGGCAAAGTTGTGCTACATCTTTTATGTTATTCATTGAATAGATTAGGAATATCATTTCTAAAGGTATATGAAATTTCACTCTTTTCATACTATTTGTTTTTGCATTTTATGGCCTGAGTGAACAGTGCTAGGCTAGTTTTTATAGTGCTGCTCTTTATATGGGAAAGGAACCTCCTCCTCCTCCTCTCCTTCCCCCTTTCTCCTCCTCCTCCTTTTTATCCTCTTGTATGTATAGATGAGTAAGACAAGAGCTAATCCGGGAGTCGAGCTTAGATGATAGGATAAACAAAAAATATGTGAAAAAACAACAATAAGGTCAGTTCACGCTCTTTTTTTCCAGCTACAGTAGACATTAATTGGAGATGTGATCTGTTCTGTAACTCCCCAAACTGATATTTTTCATATTTCTTATAATGACAATTCTCAGAATTTCCAGAATAGATGGCATTTGTTTGAGCAAGACTGTTATACACAATAGTCTAATTCACACCATACTCTAAGCAGTTTTTTGTTTAACCAGCATTTATAGAGTAAGCCCCTCTTTGCAGAGTTTACACTTTGCACTGAGCCATTTTACAAACCACAATGGATGATTTCACATATCACGTGAATTATTCTCTGCTGCACCATGGTTTATTGAAACCACAATTGTAGGGGTGTGCATAAGCACACCAGTGTGCCTAACATCTCTGTTCAACTGTCCCAATTTATTTGTACCAATTTCCTGTGTTCTTATTAATGTTTATTCCTATTCCTGTTACCTTGTACATGAGTGACAAACTAAATAAATAAAATAAAATAACAATTGTCTGGATTTGCATAGCACAAGAGGCAAGCCACGTTATGACTTAATGTTTTGTGTGAACTTGGTCAGTATGTTAGACTGGGACTTAATTTGTATTGTTGGAAGAAATGTCCATCTGGGTTCAGTTCCAAGTGGGAAGAAAGACACTGGAAACATGGAGACTGCTTGAAAAGATGGTTTAATGGTGGTGGGTAGAACCGCATAATTTGAGATCCTAGGCAAAAAGGCACATGGGTGAGAGATGGAGATAGATTTATACCCTCTGTTGGGCTTTGAATTCTGATTGGTTGTCAGACTCCCATGGGGTCATGCAGGGGTTACTTTGTAGGTTGTGAAAGGGCTTTGGACAATTCCTACTATGGCTCTGCCTGAAGGAGGTAGATCTTTGTAATGTAGAATAGACTGGCCCAGGCCTTACTAGCCCATTGACAAATGTGTGTGTGTGGGGTGTATGTGTGTGAGTTTCTGCCTTTTTGTAGGGGAAATATTCTGCCCTTTTAATATTTCCTAAAATACCTCATTTTCCTAGGAGTGGGTGGGTGCTAACTTCCTACTGTTTTTTCATTGATCTCTTCTCTCAATTGATCTCTTCTCTCAATTGATGCTTATCTGGAAGTACTCTGTGGAGGATAGGTCTGAGGTTCCAAGGTTAAAAGTAAACAATAAAATAACTTCTGATCTTCCTCATTTCAGTGGCCCTGAATTTTCAAACAGCTGGTACAGAGATGGACTTGTATGATGGACTTTTTAGTCAAAATGGCCATTGCGGTTATGTGTTGAAGCCAAGTTTCATGAGGGATAAAGAGACAGCCTTCAGCCCTGAGGACCCCCAAAGCAGGGGTGAAGGTAACCCCTTGAGCTTAATGGTTAAGGTACTGTACGTGTCTGTACCCACACTTTAACTTTAAAGATTTGGGGGAGGTAAAAAAAATATGTATTTTCCTTATACTCAGCAGGGCCAATGATCATAGAGTTCTACCCATTCCCAAGTTCTTAAAATTATATTTATACATATTTGTTGCTATATCTTTATGGTTCAGTAAAGTCCACAACAACCAATAAAAACAATAATTATATTTTAAAAGCATTTCCCCTTAAATTTCCCCTGTATATTGGCAATTTCTATTGGAATGTCCTTTCTTTTAGACCAGAAAGTCTACATATGAGGAAACTAACTAAGGAACTAAATTTGGGAGAGCTGCATTTTATGTTGCCTGAAATGTGGGGGGGGGGGGAGGGAGGGAGAGAAGTGACATATTTTGCTAGAATTTCAGAAAACTATTCCCAATTTGACCCTAGCTCATTGGTTTCTTTTATAAAACTAATAGTAGATGACTGTCAAACATTTCCTGATAATAAATGCTAGAAAGAAAGTCTATTCCACTGATCTCAGAAAAGAAATTGATCTGAAATGATATAAGGTTTCCGGCTTGAGCAGGGAATTGTACTAGAAGACCTCCAAGGTCCCTTCCAATTATTATTCTGGTCCAAAAACAATTGGCCACAATGGGGGACACAGGTGAACCCATGGCACAGCCATGTTTCTGTCTGTAGAAACCTTCATTGTATTTTAAATAGGTAGTAAAATAGGTCAAGCAGAGGTCCAGCATGGCACACATGTGGTCTGGGCTGAGATTGGTTCTGTCACCTAAGGTGCTGTCTTGTAGCTTTCATTTCTTCACTACCAGAACAGCTTCAATAGTTGAAATGCAGGTGAAGAGTATACATCCTTCCATTCCCCACCATCTAGTCAGAGCTGAAGAAGCTTCTGGAATGTAGCAAAAAAGTTTTCAAAGAAAAACCAGAAAATCCAGTTGCATCTTGGAAAAGCACCTTTGGGATAACCAGTTAGGACCTAGGTCACACAGCAGCAAGTGAGCGAAGCTTTATCTGCCCATGCAGAAGATCTAGGTTGTGTACAAAATCATCCCCTCCTGGTGCGTGGAAGACAATTTTTCTTCCAAATCTGGTCCATGGCCAGAAAGATTGGGCACCGCTGATCTAGCAGACCCTCCAGATTCTGTACTCAAGGGAAACACTGGTGGAGACCTTTGGGAGCATTTGCCAGAGCAATGGCTGACTCAGTAACATCAATGCCAATTCAGAAGTGGTACTTCTAGGGCCAACTGGAAGCTGGGGACAAAAGAAGACTTGGGGATTTTAGAACTTCTGATGAGTTGCTCTCTGTTTTGAGCAGCAGGTTCCAAGTTTTAGCAGTTGGTACTTTGCAAGTTCTGCCTTGTAGCTTTGACATGAGTTTCATGATCGTGCAATCTTCTCTTTCAGATCATTAGTGGGCAGCAGCTGCCCAAGATTCCCAACAGCAAAGAAGGCTCCATTGTGGATCCATTCGTGCGAGTGGAGATTCATGGGATCCCTTCTGACAGTGCCAAGCAGGAAACCAAATATATTGACAATAATGGTGAGCCAATCCTATTGTAAAGATGAAGGAAGTTGGGCTTTAGATCTTACACATTTTCCTTATTTTTATTTCATTCCATTCAATTCATATAGTTGCCCACCTCACAAATGTGACTCTGGGCAGTTCACAAGCAAGTGGCGTCTGAGAACAACTTCTTATCATCTTCTCAGCCTGAGGTTCCCACAACAACTTCACACCTGTGGATTGATTTGCCTTGGACTGGACAAAGGGGACGGGTTTCTACAATGTTTAACCTAATAATTTTGAGCAAGAAATTCAGATCCTGCCTATTCCCCTTGCTATCACTATCTCCCCAAAAAAGTTCCTTTTGAAATGCTGTCTGTTTCAAGAATTCTGCTTTCTTGAGGGGATAGAAGAATCAAGTCCTTACAATCAGTCTTAGCAATTTTAGGATGTGGAGTTGTTGATTCTGAGAATTGAAGTCCACAAGTCTTAAAGTTGCCAAGGTTGGAGACACCAGGTCTAAGGGAAAGTTAAAAGAGATGCTAAAATACCATTTAGTGATGGCATCTTCGCTTTATTTCAAAATTCTTAAACAGGTTTTAACCCACAGTGGGGTGAGTCCTTTCGGTTCTACGTGTGGGTCCCAGAACTGGCCCTTCTACGTTTTGTGGTGGAAGATTATGACAAGGCATCTCGGAATGACTTTGTGGGGCAGTATACACTACCTCTCACCAGTGTCAAAGCAGGTATGGGACTCCATATTACACTAGTCAAGAGGTGGAGTTACCTCACACCAAGTCCTGGGGATAAAAATAGTAATGGCCCTTGTGACAAATGGGTTGGGGGAAATCATTTGCCACTACAGTGGATATTCTTTTTCCATAAGGTAAAGGTAAAGGTTCCCCTCGAACATATGTGCTAGTTATTCCCGACTCTAGGGGGTGGTGCTCATCTCCGTTTCAAAGCGCTGAAGACGTCTCTGTGGTCATGTGGCCAGCATGACTAAACGCCAAAGGTGCACAGAACGCTGTTACCTTCTCACCAAAGGTGGTTCCTACTTTTCTACTTGCATTTTTACATGCTTTCTAACTGCTAGGTTGGCAAAAGCTGGGTCAAGTAATGGGAGCTCACTCCGTTACGCGGCGCTAGGGATTCAAACTGCCAAACTGCCAACCTTTCTGATCGATAAGCTCAGTATCTTAGCCACTGAGCCACCACGTCCCCGAAGAGTAACATAGTAAAAGTTAATTATAATAGGCTATGACCCATCTGGCTGAATCTCCTGTCAAAATATTCTCTGTACTGCTGGGAAATTGTTAGGTCTCCTTCTTAGATGTCCTCCATTAAGCCCAGCTCTAGCAAAAGAAAAGAAAAGAAAATGTGCTTTGAATCTTTCTTCAGGTGACATCAATGAGCTATATATCATACATTTTCAAATTTAAAGTTCTATGATCCTTTATTTGGCAGCAACTAGCATATCAGTATATTATACAAATCAACAATGAGCCTTCATTAAAATGTGTGTACAATAATGTATTAAGTTCATTTTTAGTTCAAGAGTATTTTTTTCATAAGTTCAATTTCTACTATAAAAATGTCTAAAAGTAACTTGCAGAATAGAAAAACAAAGATATAGAGACCTGGACATGGATGGATCAAACTTCAGAAGTTCCCTGACTCTACTTTGTCCTCATTATTTCAATTAATTTTTGCAAGTATTGCTTAGATGGGATTTTTATAAATGTCTGTTACTGTAGCAAATCCAAACAACAACATTTTGTGGAAGAAAAAAGATCACGGTGTCCTGTCTTGTGAATAAGAAACTAATATTGTTCATGTATAGCCATAGAGTCACTGCACTTTGGAGTGGTGCGGTGGCCTAGAGGTGGAGCTCTCGCCTCACAATCGGGAGGCTGTGAGTTCAATCCTAGGTAGAGGCAGACAGTTCTCTCTCTGGGCCCACTGAACAAACCTCCGCATTGGCAACAGGAAGGGCATCTGGCCATTAAAACACTCTGCTAGCTCCATTCAGTGGCTCAAACTCCACCTCGCAAGAGATTATGGGGTCATTAAAAGAAGATAATCATAGCCAGAGGGTCACCTTGGGTCAAATAAAGGAGATGGAGGAACATGGAATGTTTCAAAACTATCTGAAGGATCAGAGCTTGAAATGTGGTCCAGTTCAGGCAGGAATCAACAACTAAAAAAAGGTATTTCTAACGATAAGCATCCTTCTGAACTTCCTTCTGGCTATTGTATTTACAAGGGACAATCCAGTGTTAAATAAAACTGCAAACTATGTATGCAAATACTGTGGCATCTTGCTTTGCTGCTGCTGCTTATCTCTAAAGGCTGAGGTAGCAAGGGAGAGAGCTTAACAAGATGTTGACCAATAAGAGGAGGCAGTTCTGAATGAAACAACCAATGGGATTCCATTCAGGGCTGGTCTTATGAATCCAAGTGTCCAGTGCTGGCAGATGGGAAGAGTTGCAAAATATGCAGTTAGAAGAGCTCTGAGTCTCCCAATGTGTCCTATGTTCTCTTAGTTAGCTTCTCCTGCAGACAGAGAAGATAAAAAAGAAATTGGCCTTGTCCTGCTTAAAATAAGCCTCTTTTTTTTTTTTTGCACCTTCTTTTCCCATACAGGATACCGCCACATCCATCTTCTTTCTAAGGATGGCACTGGGATCTCACCAGCATCACTCTTTGTCCACATTCAGATAGGGGAGTTGGCAACTGAGAATGATTAAATCGCATTTCTGCATTACACAATACAACTCTTCCTTCTCTGCCCCCTTTGCTTTAGAGAATGAGGGTGAATGAAGGAGACAAGAATTAAGATGGTGGTTTTTTTAAAATCACCCTATCTGCCAACCATCTCTTACTTCTATGCAGAATGGGATTTGGACACAAACATTGTTTTCCATTAGTATACTTATTTTTTCAAGAAAAGAATACCAATTGCATTATTTTGTTTGTCTATTTATTTTTATGATTGTGATTGGCTCAGGTCTCACCTTATAATCTACCTCCGCCTTGCAAGGAATCCAGCGTACTCCAACAGAGCAAAGTTCTTTTAAACAAGGTTTTCTATAATCATGGACTTATAAGAAGAGCTGTGTTAAAGTACTATTCAATAGGCCTTGAGCCAGCAGAAATGTATACTGGCTTAAACTGTGCTGCTTTTATTGCTGATCGGTATTCTGCAACACTAAAAGGAGGCTGATGAAAGCTTTATCCTATTGTGGGCCAAGTCGAAGAAAATAATTGATGTATGTTTTTCCCCCAACCTGGTTTCCCTTATAGGTTCCGGTAGGAAAACAGTCACTAATCACTCTCCCTTATATAGGTCAGAACTAGGTGACCGAAGGAAGGTGCTTAAAATGACGAATTAGCCACCTGTCATATAGGGAGGGATATGTGGCATGAAGCAGGAGGGTCTTTAATCTTCCTGTTTGGTACAACTCTTTCTCTTCAACTGCACGTTTTTCCTGAAAACAAGACTACTACATCATAGAAAGAGTACAAAACCCGTCCAAACATAATGTGGCTGAGATGTATATGAAGGAAAGAAGGTGACCTTGACAGAATCATTAGCCAGGCAAAAGAAGCCGAAACATTTCTTAAGCCTTGGGAAAGAAGATAATATTCAGGAGCAGATGCTCCCTAATCACTGGATTATAAGGAAAGGGGGGAGGGGGGAGGTACAACACAGTCAGACTTGCAAGATTGATGCCAACCCCACTAAGAAGTAAAATCAGAATGAGATCAACTCTATAGGAAGACTAGAACTATCTTTATTGAGATCGGCTGGACAGGCAGTCCTTGCTGATCGATTACTTCTTTGGCAACTATGCAAAATTATGACAGCGCTGAAAGAGAAGACTTCCAACTAACTGGTTCCTAGAAAACACAGCTTTTGCAGTGTCTCCATGGTCGTGATTCAGGCATTTGGCAACCGGCAAGCCTTTACGATGGTCACAGCATCTTATGGTTGAGTGATCACCATTTGCATCCTTCGCAAACCAGCTGCCAACAAGCAAAGTCAATGTGAAACTGGCACGAAGTCACAGTCACATGATGTTACACATTAATTGATCCTCAGTGATTTGATTAACCTAAACAGTACTTGGAGATATTTGTGTACCCCACCTCTCTCCCCCCTCCTTCTCTCCCTCCTATATGTATGATTAGGGGCATGTCAAGATCCCATGTCAAGATCCCTTCCAATTCACGCGAGATAAACTTTTTTGAGTTAGGATGCCCTTGGTAAAATCTTTTGAGATGTGTGTGAACCTGACTTATGCAACACTGTGATCTGTATTTTCCACATGGAAGCAGTTCATATTTAAATGGATGTCATCAAGCATTATAAATATATGAATTTGGGTGACTTCACCTTCAGGCAAGAAATAACAAGAACATACTTCACTGATTTTTTTTTTGAAGAACCTTCATCAAGAGGTTGGAGGACCAGAATAATAATTGGAAGGGACCTTAGATGTCTTCTAGTTTAATTCCCTGCTTAAGCAGGAAACCTTATATCATTTCAGATCAATTTCGTTTATGAGATCAGTGGAGTAGTCTTTCTTTCTAGCATTTATTACCAGGAAATGCTTCACAGCCAGGTGTAATCTACTATTAGTTTTATAAAAGAAACCAATGAGCTAGGATCAAGTTGGGAAGAGTTTTCTGAAATTCGAGCAAAATATGTTTATTTCAAGGTTTATTTTTTCTATTACTCCTCTGGAATTTTTTTCTTAGAACAAAATATTTAGGAACATTACAAAATGTTAAAATCTCTCTTTCTTGGTACATTGAAGTTGCTCACCAGCCATCAATTATTTCAGCATTTTACATTATATTGAGACAGCTTCTCTCATGAAGGATATTTATTGGAAATAGAGATTAGCAGCTGGAATGCCACTTCCAGAATCTAAAGAAACAAAATTGATAGCTAACGAAGAGGGAAATTGCATGCTGTCTTTAGATTGGGTAGCATGGCATTAGAATTTCATTTGAACCTGGTGAACCTACTTTAATCAGGACCAAGATAGGATCTATTTCAGAACTACCTTTCCTGGTTACAGCTTACTCATGTGCTATGGGCACCATATCCATGCTTTGCTCTCTAGCTCACCTAAACAATCCAATATGCTTGGCTTTCAACATGGTTGTGCTTAATGTGATATCTAAAATACCTGCAGTGTGTGCAAAACTCCCTTGAATGCCAGTCTCTCAAGTATGGCTTTCTTTGTAAGAACCTGTAAAAATTGTTTATCCAAATAAATGTATTACTTAAGAGAATTGTTTAAATTACTTTTAAAGTACAGTGGTTTTTTAAAAAATTTCAGAACAGATTTTATTGCAACATTTATTAGTTTGTGTGTGTTAGAAAAGAAAGACTTTGTCATGTCCCCGTCTGAGCCTGAATCTGCCAAGGAGATGGCTTCAGAGGAATGTGGGCAGGAGCAGGATGAGGCAGTCCAGGGTTCCTCAGGATTGGGATGGCTTGTTAGCAGGGAGGAACTGGCAGGATGACCAAGAGAGGGCAAGCAGTGGAAATGAGGAGCAACAGAGCTCAGGCAATGAGCAAGGACTGCCCCCTCCTGATCCCTGAGCACGGAGAGTGGAGAGAAGGCGGGAACAGCGCAGGCCAATCCAACAACTTGGGAGGAGAGTGCCCTCCTGCTTTGCTGGACTGCGTGCAGCCAGAGGCTGCCATGTGCGTCCGTGCATGCATGCGTGCTTTATTCTAGGACTTGCCAAGAACGTGGGAGTGTTTGGGGAAGTTTGGGGCATTAAAGGGGAGTGTGAACTCTCAGCTGGCTGTGTGGCCTTTGTGCCTTGTCCCGGGTCATCATAGTCTTGATGGGTGACACTGATCATAATCTGAGTTTCTGGACCTCACTAACATTAGTTTCATTAGGAATCCATCAACATAACAAGATAGTTTCTGCCGAACCTAAGCTTCCTATTCCACACTTCATATACACTTCAGGTTCTATGCAATATACAGCAAGACATTAAAAAGGTTTAGAGAATATTTATTAACCTCACCTTCTTATGCTTTTGGCTTATTTCCCCAAGAGTGACAATCCTTCAGCATAAGTGAAGGACCCAGAAGAGAAAAGTCTGGTTGAAAGTCTATTATGTTGAGATTCGTGTTTCAAACTGAAATCAGAATAGAAACAGAATCACACAAGTTACTTTTAAAATTAAGAACACATTTTGTGCAAGGAATTTCTGTTAAAAGTGTCAGACATGCAAGGTATCTATTTTGTATGATTCTTTTCTAATGTAGAGCAGAAAGTCTCATATAGCCCAATCTTATGCTTATTCAACTCAAAACTGTAATATTTAGTCCCTGGGCAGTTTGCATAAGATTATATTTGTTGCAACATATCTTCCTAGTATAGATGCAAGGTTATGATACATTCATGGAGATATAAGCAAATCAAAGGAAAAAGGGAGATATACACATAAGAAACAGGAGCAATCTGGACAAGAACTATAGACTCCAATGGGGAAGGTACAATTATTTCCTTCTTTTGTATGCTTGCTTTTGATTGTATAATTTTGGTTTATTTGGCTGATGAAGTCGGGCAGAATAAAGAAGAAAAATTGAGGGCTGTATATGTAAAAGGGACAAATAAACTATTAAGCTTTTTATCCCCAAAACAGTTGTTTGCATGTTACTAGAAGAAATAAATACTGCAGCAGAATTTTGTTGATTCTGTGCCTTATAGAAACACACCAGCCTATTTGCTTATCTGAATAGCCACAAAAATTGGCACATTTTAGGAAGAAGGCGGGGCTTAGCAGTGAGAAGATGGAGTTTTAGGCTACTCCTGAAATTCCTCTATACCAAAGGACTTTTTGGGGATAAAA